AATTTCTTCTACCGATGCACTGGCAATACACAGTGCTCCCTTATTTCTGGCTTTTGTGGGTTTTTTTTTCTTTCACAAATGACCTGTGCCTATGACACATATTCTACTTCTCTTTTCACATTTGCAATGTATAAGCATGTTTTACACGCCTTTTCTGCAGCACTACCAGCTGCTGCTTTGGTTGAATTTAATTTTAACACACCTCCCAAGCAGCACAGTGATGGAGAGGGTGAAACTTTAATTGCTTGTCTGTGTTAAGCAAGACAGTTAAACATGGAGTTAAAGCACATGTTCAGCAAGAAAATATGGTCAGTCTGATTCCAGTGGTATGAAAGACTGCTTTGGTCTCCTGGGCTGAGGAAAAGTTTAAGAAAAACATCTGCATGGAGTTCTTGTTTCTAAGTCTAGAGACTATTTCTGCCTCGGCCAAGTCTGGCTTGCAAGTCCTTGTAGGAAAAGAAGGCAATTACCTTCCTTTGATTAAAACCTTCTAGTTAGCTGGTCTAAAATAGAGTGGAAATTTTTTTTGAACCTTACTCCACTGAAGGATGAAAAGAGGTTTTCCACTGAAAACACAGAACAAAAAGCAGCTTTTTTAAACATAATAGTTTATAGAAAATTCTTTGACCATCTTCATGTAAAAATAGTTACTCTGCTTTCCCTAAGACTTCAGATCATTCCCTTCTTTTCTCTGTTTTTTTATTCTTATTTTTTTCCAGTAGACATAGTTAGTAGCAAAAGGCAATATTAGGACTTTTCATTTCTTACAGAAAGAAAAGCCTCTGGAAAATAACAAGATATAAAAATAAAACTTGTCCTGGACTTGTGCTGAAAATTCAAACACAGCGACTCAGAGCAAATGCAAGATTATCAAGATGTACAAGGGTCCATGTAGTTATTTCAGAAGGTGAAACCTACCATGTTAAATTTCACCTATACAAATACACATACAGTTAAACAAAAAGTGTCCACGTGTAACATCCAATGAACAACTGACCTTTATATCGCTCCAAGTTGCTGCTTCTCTGTGAAGAAATGGACTTCTCCCTCTGCTTATTGGGACTGGTCCCCAGCTGATGCTCAGGTATGTTTAAGTTGTTTTTCAGAAGTTTCTGCATCTTATATTCTGGTCTAAAACTCCCATCACTCCTCTCTCATTACACCATAACTCACCTTTTTTGGGTGGCTGGAGCTATTTTCAAGACCTTGAAAAATCACTATTGGCAAGATTGTTCTCTGCATCTTGATTCTAAAAGTTTTTAACACCCAGCTGCTCATCCAGATGTATTTAGGAGCTTTGAAATTCAACTGCTATGCTATTGAGCAGGTTTTGAAACCTTTTTTGGATCACAGCAGCTACAGCTTTTCCTAATCCTCTCCTTCATCTGTGTTACAGCCGAACTAAGATATTGAGCATTTTGTCTTTCGGGTGATTCATGAGTCTGCAAATTTGAAGTGCTATAGGAGAAACACTCAATAAGCAGGATCCAGAGGGCTGAGCTCGTACAAAGATCTGGTTAGCATTTCGGGCTGCAGATAGCTGCCGCTGGGAACCATCCCGCTGGATACGCACAGCTGCTACACTGAGTTCTCCCTATCCCTGGAGACAGTTGTCCCAGATTCCCTCCACTTCTATGCCCTACTGCTTTTCTGGCTAGTCCCAGAGACCAACCTTGCCACAGTTACTTTGAGATAAACACTTCCTCCTTTATTGTCAAAACAGGGATTTTGAAACTGATTTTTCAGTCCACATACACACAGACACCTAGCCAGACTTCCTTCTTCTAATTTCAGCAACACTGACTGGAAGATCCGGCCTCTTCGGTCCTGTCTTTCACCCCTTCAGTACTTCACTAAAGCCTTGTTTTCATTCCCCTCAGACCAGTATATGCCGGTTATTAAAGAGGATGCAAAAATGTCAATCAGTGTCTGAGACTGACAATTGCATTTAATTACCCCTGGCCCTGCCCCCAGCCACAGATGTTCAGAATAAGAATTCAGGAGTTCAGCCAGGTTGTCCCCAGGTGCCTTAAAGAAAACCAGAAATGCTGTGACATGGCTTTCAAAAGAATAGTTCAAATCAGCAGCCAAACTTAGCATGACTCCTGAACCAATTGAAGCTTGCCTCTCTTGCTAGTGTTGTGAGCTATAATTCTCCACATTTCTGGAGTGTCTTCTACTTCAGGATGCATGACAACTTAAAGAGACTTTGACTCTCAACCCGCCTTTCATAAATATTATTTCCAATTCACTGGCTAAGAAAAGCACAGCATAAAACATGAAGTCATTGTCCAAGTGCATGGCAATAAAGAGAAATTGCTGAAATAGCTCTCCCCATTTTATGAAAAGTACAGCTTCTGTACCTTCCAAAAGTTATTGTTGGGGTTTTTTTAATTCATAAATGAGTCAACAGCATTAAAAAAAAAGTGGGAAGTTTTTAGTAGACTATAAATTGTTACAGGCTACCTCTTAAAAGGCAAGTTGGAAAGTTTTCCAACTGCGTGCCAGCTTTTCTCAGAGATCCTAAAATAAATTTATCACTTTCCAGAGAAGCCACTTCAAAGGTACTTACAAATATGCCCTCAGAAACTACAGGAAATTTAGTGTCTATAAAAGAGTGGAGGGACTCCACAACCAGCAAGTAACCAACTAAAACTGGGTCCTAAGTCATGACATAAAAAGTGATCTCCATAGAACTAATTATTTACAACTACATTCCAGACCTGCTGAAATAAGATGACCATTTCCAAAATAGTCTTTGCAGGATATCAAATTACTAAAAATACACCAGATATTTCATGTGTTTTGTTCATCAAGAAAACTGACAAACCTAAGAGTTTCATGAAAGAGAAATATCTTTGCTTCTTCCCCTGGGGGAAGCAGTAGTTTTTCCTCTACATGTTGTTCCTAGAAAGCCATGTGTTTATTTCAGGGGTAGCGCTGGTCCATGTTGTGAGCCAATGTTGCAAACCTGGGAGCTGATAATGCCTCTCCGTATGCAAAGTAATGGCACCTTCCCCTCTCGTTCAGTCACGGCTGGGAAAAGGAACACGTGCATCCTCTGGAAAAGACACAGTGAATCTGCAGAATCCACACAAGATGGACCAGTGAATGTAAAGAAACATTTCCAGTTAGTAGCAGTGATGCTGCAGGATCCCTAACTCAGAAAATACTCGGTCACTGTAGTCAATGCATTGATGGCCTTTGAGCAATCAATCTTTTTGTGGAACTTGTCAGTGGAACGCACCAGAATTTGAATTTAAGAGTTGAAAAAATGCTTAAACAGGGACACAATTTTAATTACTCCTTATTTGTCCTATTTTATATCTTATTTGCCTAAGAATGTTGTTTTATCTTTTAGTTAAAACAAATGACAGAAATATTAAACCGATTTTTTTCTTGTCTAGGTCCAACACAGGCTAATGCCTCCATATGCTAGTTTTTCAGTTGTTTCCCTATAGAATTTATTACTACCTCACTCTTGTATTGTTCCTCTTGTTCCTCTCCTGGTCGGTTTGACTTGTTAGTACATTTATTTGTTAGAACCAAAGATATACATGATATCGAACAGGGAAACACACAAACAGACGGCTCCAACTTTGTTCCAGATAACATGCAACACTTTCTGATGGCCTTCACAACTCTATCAGAAGAAAGCATGCACAAATCATGACTAGGATATTTCATGTAATGCTTTATGAATTGCCTTACAACTCTAAAAATCAGTATTGATTCTTCTTCCTGAGAGAAAGACTGGACCTCATCACTGAGGGACTGAGGAAAATTAAGTGCTGAGGGAAGACTTACAAGAGGACAAGGAAGCTACCCTAAATAAAGCATCCAAAAGTACATTTAGACTGTATTTGACACTTCTTGCAGAGAAAAATAAGACCACACATCTTCCAAAGACAGTTCTAAAAGGATTTACATGTAGGTGTCACTGAATGCTTTGAAACTAGAATCTACTGTTAATCTCTGCTCTACTACTTCATTCCCCTGAAGAGGAGTTTCACTAGTCTGTTATAACACCTTATCAAAAGCTTCATTTCACCTGAAAAATTGACTAGATGTTTCTTGATTGAACTGCCTCAGCAAAAAGGTCCTGAATGCTAGCATGGTTTCCTCTAACAGCAAACATTTAGCACACAAAGATAAATAAAAAGACAAGTATTTCAGAAGAATTCATCAAAAGATAAAAAGATTCTGTGCATATGCACAAATATACATGTAATAATACATGTAAGATGGGCTTTGCCACTATACAGTGGTTCAAGAAGATTCTGCTACAATACTTGCTCACATAGAAACAGTGAGGAATTCTTCCAACTTTAACTGGGAAATCCCAGTGCAAAGGTCCTGCCTGCATGAAGGTATCAATACACTAATCACAAAGAATCTAACCACAGCTAAACAAATGTTTTTTGACCAATTACCAGCCAACACTCTGTATATGCTCTGTACAGTCAAGTTCCTGGAAACGAAACACAAGAATATTATTTAGCCAAAAATTAACTCACTGTTCCGAACAGCTCATATGACTGTGGAGACCCTTCCAAGCTTAAGAGCCTGAAGTCATGCAGCGGCTCCCTGAAGCAGCATTTATCAGGTCACACACATCTAGATGACAGCACTGTTGTTCTCATTAGGACAACAACTTCTGGTACTGACAAGTGACTACTGAAATGTTATTCCTTGCTGAAGCATCTCAGTTTTGAACGACAGAGACTAAAAAACAATGGGATATTCTCAGTAGAATAATCAGCTATTTTTTTAATTGAGAATTCATATATACAGCCCGTGACACTCTGTGCAAATAGATGCAAACAAAGAGTTTCATATAATTGGATTGATCTCAGTTACTTATATATACACTCGCATGAACTGATCAGCCCAATCCCCACCTCCCATGCCTGTTCCTGACACTGGATTGAAAAAGAAGACAGTCCAGACTGAGAATTTTTTTTTTTTTCTCGCAGAGGCACCAAAGTAGGCTTGTTCAGTCATGCTGTCTTGAGACGGAGAGCCTCCCGCCGTTGCTTCTGAACAGTCCTGGAATCTTCCCCCAGCTGAGGTCCTCTGATGTTCTCCCAGTTATCCAAGTTAGACTTTTCCAGCTTCTGCAGATAAACAGCAAAAATAGCAATGTCATCTTGACAGCCTCATAATTTAAAGGATGTATTATTCTAAATTGTTTTCTTTTGGCACAGGAAACTCAGTATCACTATTGGGTTGACGAACTTTCATCTACCCTGCAAGAGAAGTTCAACCAAAAGGAAAGAAAATCTGGGAGTTATCCATATAGCTATATAAATGACATGGGTGGGCACTACCACAGTTGTTTATCAAAAGATAAATAACATGTAGGACAAGAAGCTCTATAGCATCTGAACACGACTGGAGACAGTTTGTATTCACTTCTTCTTTCTTCTCTCACCTTGTTTTCCAGATCCGTTCTTCAACCACAAGCCTGCCAAGTAGTGAAGTAGCAGGAGTGATAAGCATTGCTATAGCTCAAACAGAAGATTAGTAATTAGTGACTTGAAGTATCCTGTCAGGACAGATACAAAGCATACTGGAAAAGATGAATTATCTAGCACAAAGAGACACAGTAACAGTGTAATCACCTTCAACACATGTGGTTTTAACTTGAGAGAGGTATGGGATGCTTTGTGCTGTCTAGTTTCTCATGGCACCTAGCTATCAGAGCCAGGTTTCTCACTAGTCACACATGAGATGTGCTAACTAGCCAAACTGTCAGATACTTAAAAACTACCTAGATTTTAATTACCTCCTTGCCTATTCCTATCATCCCCTCTCAGAAGCACCGACTGCGGTACTTATCTAGAGATGCACAAAAATGAAAAACTGGTGCCCTCCTGACCTCACCTACCAAGTGCTGCAGTTGAAGAACACAAACTGCATCTTCACAGGCCTACTGGCAGAGACATAGAAGTCTCTTCCCAGCAGACACCTATCTCAAGTCTCACATACCAGCCTGTGGAACAGAACACAGGGCATGATGGGGCTCTGCCAACAGCAGACTGAGGAGGGGGTGTGCAGCACAGCCAGAAACAGGGCTGTTCCACATGCTACAGGGCAATACTGCATACCATTAATGATATGTACTGCAGTGGGACCTAAACCTCTGATTTGTGACCAGGGCCTCATCTCAGCAAATGCTGCAAAAATACTCCAGAAAATACTTAATTCTGCCCTGAGCCTGTGGCCTAATCTGCCTACTATCAATCATCCAAACAAATGGCAAACACTGAGGGACTTGAGTAATAGTGGCAGAATAATTCAACAGCTATAACAGAACAGACCCGCTTCTATTAGTTCATGTTATGTAAAAGTTTTCCGCCACTTCTACAATTGAGGAAATTGTAATGAGGTTAGTCAGATATCAAATGAAATTAGGCAACTTTCAACAGAAGATATATGAGAACACATGCACAAACACAGCAGACTTTCACAAGGTAGGAGCAACTGAATTTTTTATACAGTGGAGTTGGCATAGGTCTTTCTGAAGAGTTGTCTTCACTACTTTATACATCTTATGATTAGCTGGTACTTCATTTCAGCTGGAAGGGATCTGAGCTGACATGGAAGGAGGGGGAAGGAGGGAAGGTACCCATCATTCCACACAGCAGTGACTATCCACTCTGATTGCAAATTCAGAATTTAATGTCTGATTCTAATGGAATTTTCAAGGAAACTACACTGAAAATAACCTTGTGCTTTAATGGATGGGAAGCATGCCGGTTTTGTTAAACACAAAGGTACCACATAGCTGGGAGGATCTAAATTATTGCCAAAGGTGCTCAGCTCCCAAAAACTGAACAAGAATCAACATCTAAAATATATACAACAAAACTTGTAGTATATAAAGATGGGCTCCATAAAGAAGTCTATCAAAAGAGACATGCATGCTGGAGTTCTTTACCAGAAGTTCATATTAATCTGCTCCTGAAACTTCGCAAAGGCTTTTCAGAGAGGATGTTTCCTGCACCTTCCTTACTGGCACATGATAGTATCTGCAAAAATTAGTAGTTTATGGAACAGGTATCTGTCCAGTCATCAGAAGGCAGCAAGATTAGACAATCCCATTTCCGAAACTGATGTTATAAAGTTTTGAAAGAATAGAGGACTCCTGTTGCATGTGGATAAACATGAGAAGGAATATCACCAGTGCAAGGGGACCTGAAAATCTCAGTTCTGCGATGCTTTCCCCACGGTATAGCTATTTTCACATCTATCTACCTGTGCTGGTTTTGGCTGGGATAGAGTTAATTTTCTTCATAGCAGCTGGTATGGGGCAGTGCTTTGGATTTGTGCTGGGAACGGTATTGATAACACAGGGATGTTTTAGTTGCTGCTGAGCAGTGCTTACACAGAGTCAAGGCGTTTTCTGTTTCTCACACCACCCTGCCAGCGAGTCGGCTGAGGGTGCAAAGAAGTTGGGAGGGGACACAGCTGTTTTCTCACTTTTACCCTTCTGATTCTCTTCCCCATCCCACCGGCAGGGAGCAGGCAAGCAGCTTTATGGTGCCTGTTGATTGGGGTTAAACCACAACACTACCTTACACACAACTAAATAAAACCTAACCTTTTTTCTTGGTCACTGACATGGAAATTGTTACAATAGTATCACCCCAGAATACATGTCTACATTGCATGTAGGCCAAAGACACGTACATAGCTATATTTTAGATTTATGTCAGTGCTGAGAATAAGACTAAACTCTCAGTCCTTCTATTGATTAGGGGCAGCACAAGCTGCAAAGCTCCTTCAGATTGCCCGAGCTGTCCAGTGAGAATTCAAGCAAGCAGCTAATTCTGCTCCCACATGAAGTCAACTTCTTCCATTCACACTGGTTGGGCCTTTTTTATTTCCTTTTTTAGCCACCTCGACTCTGCCCACCTAATTTCATGGAGAGATCACATAAAGATGGTAAACGACTTCCAGTTTTTACTAAATTGAAATCCATATGAAATGAACAGGCACTCTAAAAACCAAAAAGCTTTTTCTACCAATTCCAATGTACTAAATAGTCAATCATTGGAGACTACAGTGAAATGTAATCAGATCAGGCCAGCACCACTATTCCTGCTCGTCTCAAACAGCCCAGAGGATATTGAAAATTAGCTGTTTAAAGTAAGATCGGTGTAGTCCATTAAATCTACTGATTCACTTCCTAAATCAGCTAAATTGCCTCTTAAAAGTAGGGGACTGACAGAAGCTGTAAATTTAAGAAAAAAATGCAGCTATGCAGACAGGCACAAGGAACAAAAAAGAAATGAATGTTCAAGTGCTTGCCACTCACTTGACTTTTAAGACTTTTGTTAAACAGCTTGCCTGGCACAAAGGTACCAGTAAGGATGTGAAGAGACCTTCACTTCTTAACTGCTGATTCAAATGCCTGGCTTGGTATTAAGCAAAAGCCATAATCCTCTGTCAGCCTTAAACTAAAATAAAATTTAAAAATTAGTTTGAATTCTACTCTTACAGGATAGTCTTCAAGCCACAATAAATAAAAGGAAATCTGCAGAAATTCATTTAGAGCTCTTGATGGTCAGGCTGAGTTAATTCAAAGTGGTCACTTGCAAAAAATGTTTGGCTTTAGTCTATTTCCCACATGTGAAAGGAAGGATAAGAAAATCCCGTTTATTTTACAGCTTGATGCAATAGCTTCTGTCATGAACACCACAGAAAGAAATTCCTCTCATTCAGAAAGACAATTATTTCCCACTATTATAGTAAGCAAACCCATTTGCAGATAAAAGATGAACCAGGGAAGAATATCTTCATGGCTGAAAGATGCAGTGAAAGAAATGCATTACACCAGCCTGTTTTTGCAAGGGTGTCAAAACAGCCTGAAGACCATAAAGGATGTACTGAGGAACTCTATGATGACATATAGACGCAGAGGTACAGAATTAAGTAAGGCTAACACTGCATCTGCTGTCTTGTGTGTGACTGAAAATCCTACCTTCATCATGACTCTGATATGGTCTTAGTGTTTTT